TTCCCGTCTAATACGGTGTGCTCCCACTGGGATATCAGTATCTTAGAGTTTGGAGGTGTCAACACAACCACAAATGCATCTGAGTGCTCCAGAAACTCCAGAATATTTAACTGGGCAGTGAGTTTACATGGTGGCAGTTGTGGGATATGGGTGTGGCTGCCGAGCTTCCGGAAGAACGGGTTGGGAGGAGGCTGCCTTCCCCTACTTCAGAAGGACTCCAGAGTTCTCAGCCTGAAGACTGAAGTACTGAAATTTTCAACAGTTTGGTGTCTCTGCCAAACTCATTTGGGAGGTGCTGGAGATAGTGGTAGCTGTGGGGGTCTGAGGGTGCCTGAATGGGCTTAGGCAGAACAGAGACTCAAATTGCTACCCCCCCAACCAAGATTTTTTGTTTATTTATTGGTAAAAAATTAAGTGTTGTCTTATAGAAATCTCACTATCTTTATTTTTAAAAAAATAAGCAGAGAATATTATATAACCTCAGGTCAGATAATCAGTCTTCTGAGAGAGTAAAATGTAGATATTGTTCTGTTGTTAAAAAGTAAATGAGAAGGTGGGTTGTGAAAGAGACACGGGTGCAAAGACATTGACACTGGTGGTGGGTGTGGAGTTGGAATATTATATACCTGAAATTCTTATTAAAAGTATTCTAAATCATGGTGCTTAAATCAAAATTGGGAGGAATGAAAATGAAAACCTGTGAGATAGTTCAAGGATATGGGCACATGAATTGCATGCAGGAAGCCTTTGAGTTCCAGTACCACACGGTCCCTGGATCACCTTCTAGAGTGGCCCTGAGCACTGATCTGGGAGCAGCACCTGAGCACTGTTGATGTGCCTTCTCCCCAAAAATGTAGCAATGAGAGAAAATATTTTGCAGGGGAGGTTCAGATGCCCAGTTCCATAAGTCTTGCAACAGTTGCTGGACTGTGATAAGACTGTCATCTGTGGCTTTTAATAAGAGACAGCCCCACTATACTCATGTTATCATCAATGGATAAAAGATTTTGTCAAATGCCTCTTCTGCATCTATTGAAATTAAAGTGTGCTTTTATTTATTAGAACCAACACAGTTGTCAACTATAAAACTTCCTAAACTCTTACCCCCCTCTCTTTTGGGGGGACCAGACTGGTTGTGCTCAGGGCTTATTCCTGACAGCGCTTGTGGAGGACCATATGCAGTACCCCAGGAAAAGGGATCAATCAAGCCAGGATCAAAGACTTGTCAGTTCTATCTTTCCAAAGAAACCGCTCTTCATTTCCTTGGTTTGTCTTTTTTAATCCATTAGTTTATGATAGCACAGTGGTATGGCATTTGCCTCGCACGCAGCCAGCCTGGCAGAGCCGGGTTTGATTCCTCCACCTCTCTCGGAGAGCCCAGCAAGCTACCAAGAGTATTCAATATGCCAAACACAGTAACAAGAAGTCTCACAATGGAGATGATACTGGGCCCACTCGAGCAAATCGATGAACAATGGGAGGTCAGTGTTTGTTTGTAGTTTATGATTTCTGCTTTGAACTTTGTTATTTATTTCTTACAGTAATTTTTTTTGGTTTAGTTTTGCTTTTTGGCATTGCACCTGGCATTGCACAGTGGTTATTCCTGGCTCTGCACTCAGGAATTACTCCTGGCGGTGCTTGGGGGACCATATGGGATGCTGGGCATCGAACCTGGGTCGGCCCTATTCAAGGCAAACGCCCTACCTGCTGTACTATTGCTCCAGCCCCTTGTATAGTAATTTGAATTGCTTGATTTACCCTTTCTTGTTCCTGAGGTATAAAGTTAGAATGGTTATTTGGAATTTTTCTTGTTTCTTTTTCTGTTCTTATTTTCTTTTTGAGCAACATCCATTTGTCCTTGGGACCTATTCCAGTGGTGTCAGGGGATCATGTATTACTTGAACTCACGAACAAATCATGGGTTCTTACCATCTAACCATTTCTCAGGGTTTTCAAAATTTATTTTTGGCAAGGGGGGGCAGGGCGGGTATTGCTATATATTTTAACTACTGGAATGATAGAATTCCAGGAGTTAAACATCCACAAACCACTTTTTTCCCCTTCATTGCTGTTATTAATTGAAATCAGGGTCTCACACATAGCAATACTTAACCAGTGAGTCATGTCCTAGGCACCCAACAAACCGATTTTGTTTGAGTTCCACAATGATATTGAGAGATGGTCACTCATGTTGTGTCTATGCCAGTGAGAGTTTATTCCTCTACATTTCACTCCTCTCAATTGGTTTCATCTTTCTTGGATTGAGACAGGAAATAGCTGTCCTAAACTGAAGACAGAAGAAGCAATCTAGGATTTATTTAGAGTACTATGAAACACAAGCAGTCATTTACTTCTTTAAATTTAGATTGACTTCCGTTATTTGTAGAATCAATTCACGCACCAAATCACCTATCTTTTAATATTTTTTTATTCTGTCAGTGTACTAACGACTTCTCAGACTGTGACTTTGGGAAACTAGAAAAATCATGTTAGCCACAATTTCATGAAACAAATACCTGCTTTCCAAAACATTCTGCTTGGGGCTGGAGGGACAGCACAACGGGTAGGGCGTTTGCCTTCCACATGGCCGACCTGGGTTCGATTCCCGGCATCCCATCTGGTCTCCCGAGCACCGCCAGGAGTAATTCTTGAGTGCATGAGCCAGGAGTAACCCCTGTGCATCTCCGGGTGTGACTCAACAAGCCAAAACAAAAACAAAACAAACCAAAACATTCTGCTTCCCAAAAATGATATCCTCTTTTTTAACCAGATTTTTGTATGTATGTTTACATACACGATAATACTGGCAAATGGCACAGCACTCTGAGGTTGGCCCAAGGTGGTCTTTGGGGCACAAATATCCTTTACTTTTGGACATTTTTTTTTTCTGGAGAAGCCCACAATTGGTATCCTCCCTTAAAATTCTTTCAGTTCTCTCTCTCTGTCTGTTTCTCTCTCTCCCTTAAAATTCTGTTTCTCCCTTAAAATTCTTTCAGTTCTCTGGGGGCTGGAGCAATAGCACAGCGGGTAGGGCATTTGCCTTGTACGTAGCCGACCTGGGTTCGATTCTCAGCATATGGTCCCCTGAGCACTGCCAGGACTGATTCCTGAGTGAAGAGCCAGGAATAACCCCTGTGCATCACCGGGTGTGACCCAAAAAAGCAAAAAAAAAAATTCTTTCTCTCTCTCTCTCTCTCTTTCTCTTTCTCTCTCTCTCTCTTTTAACACACACACACACACACACACACACACACACACACACACACAAAGGTATTACTGGCTTACAATATTATGCCTTTTTTCTCTGTTTATGGGCTAAACTGAGTGGTATTTGACGGGGTTGTTATGGTTCAAAGTTCCTGGGTCCATCTCAGTTCAGGAGATGTTGTGCCAGAGATTAAACCTGGGGCTCCGCTATGCAAAGCATGCACTGTAGCCCTTTAAACTGTCTCTGCAGTCCTTTAATTATAGCACCGAGACTGGTTGATAATCCCAGCATTGAGATTCCGTCTCATGTAACACACAGACTCCATTGGAAAGTATAAAAATATCATACTTTGCAATGAAATAAACAATACCATTCCATTTTGTCCTTCCTTCCAGTCTTCCTTAAAAACATTAGGCCCTTTTCATTTTGTCATATTTATAATAAAGATATATTTGTCTAGATTTAATAGATCACCATAAATTAAATTTTAGATGATTTTGCCACTTAGCAAAAAGTTCTAATACGGGGCTGGAGTGATAGCACAGCAGTTAGGGCATTTGCCTTGCATACGGCTGACTGGGGTTCGATTCCCAGCATCCCATGTGGTCCCCTGAGCACTGCCAGGTGTGGTTCCTGAGTGCAGAGCCAGGAATGATCCCTGTGCATTGCTGGGTGTGACCCAAAATGCAAAAAAAAAAATGTTCTAATACATGTGACACTGCACACAGTAATATCTAGAGGCTCTATATGCAAAGATATCTATGAAGCTGGGATGACAGCTCAAGGGCTGGAGTAAAATGCTTTGCATGTTGGAACCTGGTTTAGATCCTTGGCACTGGATGGTTCCCTGAGCACTCCAGGAGTAACCACTAAGTACTGCATTGGGTATTGTACCTGAGCACCACTTGATGAGACACAAAATAAATATTTTAAAAAATGAATGCTAAGGGTTTTGGAGTGGGATTGGCTCAATGCGTTGAGTACACACTGTGAAGTGTGACCCCAATTCAAAACCAACCAAGGAAGAAGATGTTTGTTGTATCATTTATAAAGCAGCATATTGAAATAGTCATCCTAAGTACATAAAAAATATTCAGTAAACATACTATACTATAGACTCTTCTACAAATAATACAGTATATTTGTGAGTATTGATCAGAGAAGAACTGGCTGAAGAATTTATTGTTATTTGAACTGTTTAATGTATGATTCCCTTTTCTCTGTCTCATGAGTCTCCTAGATATGACACACACACAAAAAAATCAGGGAACTTAGAAGTCATTATGATGATGTCAGTAACAGAAAGAACTGCATTTTTTTTTTGTCATTTTAGCAGTGTGAGCCTTTGGGATTTTAGTAGGGGGGCTCCCAAGTAGCGCTGAGGAGATCTGGGACCCTGCCAGCAATTCAGTGTATGGGCTGGAGGGTGAGCTGCTACCCAGACCCTGGGGTGCTGAAGATAATCAGGGCAGCCCAGCAGTGCTGGGGACCTCCAGGGCTGCACCCAACGATGCTGCTGGGATGAGTTGGCTGGGAGTTGAACCTGCGCCCGGAGCATGCCAGGCATGTACCCGAGCAGCTGTACTACTCCCTGCCTAATAATATGATATTTAATTACTTCAAAAAGTTGTGAGGGAACAGAGAGACACTAGAGTGGGTAAGACGCTTGCCTAGCACATAGGGTCGACCTGGGTTTAATCCCTGCATCACATTTGGTTCCATGAACACTGCCAGGAGTGATTACTGAGTATTGAACCAGCCTGAATATTTTTTAAATTTTAGTTTTATTTTTAAAAGATTTTAAAAAAATTGAAATCTGCATGTCATCCTTGAGCAGGAACCATGCTAATCTTCTCTGTATCGTTCCAATTTTATTAGAGGTGCTGCTGAAGCGACCACCCAGCCATGTGACCCCAAAACTAAAGAAAAAAAATGTATGACCAGGGCTGGAGAAAAGACTACCACGATTAGGATTCATATTTTGCATTTGGCTGACTGAGGTAAGCATCAGTCTCTTGCACTGAACCAAACTGTAAATTACTGAAGTGGCCCCGGTCCCTCTGAGCAATACTTAGAAGGTTCCCTGCTCACAGTGATTCAATAAATAAATAAAAAAAATTAAAAAAAAAAGTTTCCCTGGCCAACATCACACAATTGGTATTGTGCATGTATTGTACATACTTGACAGTATGGCATAGTTCTCCTTCATTTTGTGTTACTAAAATGGCAGCATGCTCTAACCAAGGTGTCTGATCTTAGCCTACATCAGGAACTGCTTCATTGTTTCACAGCAACAGAATAAACACTGTACAAATACCTCATTACTCTCGTTAGTTTCCATGGATAGGCATTCGGTTGACTTATACTCTCGGTATTTATAAAAATCTGCTATCATGAATTCTCTTGGATTTGTAATATTTCATATCTTTGTCAGGATATCTGTAGAATAAATTTCTCAAAGGGTATGCAAATTTGGAATTTTAATGAGGTATTACAAAATTGCCCTTTGGAAAGGTTATGCCGATTTATGCTCCGACTGGCAATGTGTAATGGTGGTTACAATTTCCTCACGCATTTCACAAAAACGTGTTATCAGACTTACTGACCTTTGCACTGAATTAATTCTGACTTTAGTTCTGGCTGCTTGAGAAATCTTAATTACAGAAAGTTTTATGAGTTGGTTTTTTTCCTTTTCAACACATCTTTTCTTAACTAGAGGAAGTTTCTGTTATTTTCATCCTAGGACCAAGATTCATATAGCTGTTCTACTGCTGAGACCTCAAGTTGAGGATGGTATCAGTACTTTCTTAATCATTTTCATAAAGCCAATTAAATCTGTGTAAAGATGTATATGCATGTATCTGAGTATCTAAAGAAGTGATTGCAAGGACGCAATGGTAGTTATTGCTGCATAAGAGAGTTGATAAATAAGCTTAAGGGGATACCTTAGCTTTCTGTATTGGGATTTTTACTGAATACATCTCATACCTTAATAACTTTAAAAACTCTTTTTGGGGGGATGGGGACATCACTCAGCAATATTCAGGGGTTACTTCTGGCTCTGTACTCGGGTTGGTGGTGCTTGGGGGGGCCGTATATGATACTGGGGATAGAACCCAAATTGGCAGTGTGCAAGGCAAATGCCCTACCATCTGAACTATCCCTCAGTCCAAGACTCTTTGCCAAGCTCTCAAGTCTGTAACACTGTAGTAGTTTGTTCGGGCTGCCATAACAGAACACCTGAAATCTCGATGACTCCAACAAGAGAAGTTTCTTTTCTCATTTCTGGAGGCTTCATATACGAAATCAAGGAGTCAGTGGGTGGATTTCTTCTCTTTGATCTCTTCTGTTTGCCCTGCCACCTTCTTGCCATGACCTCACCTGGTCTTTTGTTTGGGCCCACACCTGATGGTGCTTGAGGGCTTCGATGGGTGATGCTCATGGAACCATATGCAGGGGTGCCGGGGCTCAAGCCCGAGCTTCCCTAATGCCAGACATATCCTCTGTCCACTGAGCTCTAGTTCCAGCCTCTCATCTGGTCTTTTCACTGTGAATCCTACTATGGATCCTCTCTTTCTCTAGTCTAATCTCTTTTGGTCATATCTGGCACAGCTAAGGGGCTACTCCCTGCTCTGTGCTTGGAGCAACATGTAGACCTGGTTTAAGTAGGCAAAAGATGAGCTCAGCCTTTTACAGTCATCTCCCAGCCCAATTTTGTATCAGACATTTCTGCCTCAGAGTGCTCAGAAGGCACAAGGGACAACTTTTACATACCCATGTGTACTATTCAGTTTGATGCCAGGGCCTGGCTGTGCAGTGCTGCTGAGGCCCTGTGGATCCAGGGGCTGTTAGGGCATCTCAGCGATGTACCCAGTATTACTCACAAGTCTTCAGGGAGACACCTGGAGTAGTATTTGGGAGGACATTTTATATGGTCCTATACTAGCCCACACCTCCATCCTGGTCTCAGTGCTATTTTCTTTTCCCTATTGATTCTTCATAAGAACACTGGGTTAGGGCCAGCCATAATTAATTTAAAAAATTTAATTTCCTTTAAAAGTCCCATATCCTGCTTGCCTTGCATGCAATTAACCTGGGCTCTATCCTTAGCACTGCATATGGTCCCATATGGCCCCCACAAGGAGTAATCCTTGGGCACAGGGCAAGAAGTCCAGAGCATTGACAGGTTTGCCCCAAACCAAAATAAACTAAAATTTGAAGTGTTTTGTCTAATGTAAGTTTGGTCCTCCCACACGTTTTTACTTTACAACTTAGCTGTACGATTGCTTTTCAGCCTTCTACTTAGGGCTTTGTATTAATTGTAGTGTTTCAAGAGTGTTTTATTTTTTTCCCACTCCCAGCTCTGATCTGGGTTGGAGAGTGGGGAGAGGTAGGAGGATTCTTCTGTCTGAGATCTTTGGCTTCTGTCTTTTTAATTAAAATGCATCTTGGAATTCTAGTAGGGTTATTTATTTTTGCATTTTGGGTCACACCCAGATATGCACAGGGGTCACTCCTAGCCTTGCACTCAGAAATTACTCCTGGCAGTGATGCAGTGATCAGGGGACCATATTTGGGATGCTGGGAATTGAACCTGGGTTGGCCGTGTGCAATGTAAATGCCCTACCCGCTGTACTATCACTCCAGCCCCCTATTAGGGTTTATTTGGTTTGAAACTCTTTAAACTTTTTGAATCTGGGTATATGATGCCATCTCCAGATAAGAGGTTCTCAGCAATAATCTTTTGTATTGAAAAGTCTTCCCCATTCTCTTTCCTCTTACTGAAATTCTATAATTTGTTCATTGTTTCTTTTGAAATTACCCTGTAGGTCCCTGATGTTTGATTTCCTTTTTCCTTATCTGTTATTTGGATGGTTTCATGTGTCATGTACTCAGTACAGTGATTTGTTCCTCAACTTTCACGATTGTTATTTTGTGCATCCACTGTGGGTTTTTTTTTTTTTTACTTTTTTGGGTCAGACCTGGCAATGCACAGGGGTTACTTACTCCTGGCTCATGCACTCAGGAATTACTCTTGGTGGTGCTCAAGGGACCATATGGGATGCTGGGAATCGAAATCGGGTCGGCTGCATGCAAGGCAAACGCCCTACCTGCTGTGCTATTGCTCCAGCTCCACATCCAATGTGCTCTTTAGTTCAGCGTTTTCTAGACTTTCTCTTTGTTCACTGGAGTTCTTTAGTTCAGTGGACAGCCTTACTAAAGTCACTTTGCATTCTCATCGAGCAGGTCAGAGAGCTTTTGTGTGCTTGGAGTGCTTCCTGGGCTTTCATCTTCATGTTAAAGCAAAGTGAGTTTCTTTACTTCATCGAGTCTGGTGCAATAAGAGTGGTGATGACGAGGGTCTATGACTTTGTGCAGGTCTGGGGGAATCAGTATGCAGTTCTGTTAGCAGATCCCTTCTTCCCCCCCCACCCCCCCAACCCCCGCCCCATTTTCAGGAAAGTGCTGATGCATTTGGCCATTTGGCTAGATCAGCTGACTGCCAGTGCTGCCACCTAGCGTCCACACCTGCAAGCACCTGACCGCAGCTGTGTCCTTCCAGACTGGCCCCAAGCAGGCATGCTATTCTTTGGGGTGTCGGAATTTACCACTTCCAGCTATCAGTCAGGTACTAGCTGTACTGGGAAATACCCACTTGACGTTCCCAAGACTGATTTTGGTCTGGCCTAAGTCAGGGATCCAATCAGAAGGAAGCTCCATTTCCTTCTCACTTTCAGGAGGTTGGTGTGTACTGGGCAGCCAAATGCGGAAAAAGGGGTGGCATAGGGCTTGCTTGACAGTTAACATCCACACCCCAACCACGCCTTCACTCTCATCCTCAGTCAAGTGGTCGTTAAACATGCTGCCAGATTGAGGGTATGGTGGATTATAAGCTCCAACCCTGGACCTCTAGCTTGGAGCTTCCGTTTCTTTCTCATCCCCAATCTGCTGGTGTGGCTGCAGCCAGATACCATGGGAATGGGACACTATGGGGGAAGAAAATGGGGGGGGGGGGGGGAATCTATGCTTTGTTGATAATTCTCGATCTGTGGCTTCAAGAGCCCAGCTGTCCAGTAGTGGAATCCTGGTGTTCAAATGCTGGTACATTGATCTGGTGTTCAACCAGACTGTGGCACTGATGTGGCGCTCAAGTGCCTTGCATTCCTTCTTCCCTCCCTGAGGATGTGCGCTCTACTCCACTGCTCAAGATGTCCTCTGGGTGGCATTCTATAAAAAATTTTTCGTCGAGCTTGACTTTCTTCCCTTCGCCTAGGGATGGCACCTCTCATTTCACTCCCCACTCCACTATCCTGGTCCTGCCTTCTTCAAGAAAGGAATTTTTCATTTTACTAACATTTTTGTATCTTCCGAGTAGCATTTTCTTTGCTTCAGGGCCACATTCGGTGTTGCTTCAGCATTACTCCGGGGTCTGTGCTTAGAGGACCAGGCAGTGCCAGAAACTGAATCCAGACCCCCTCCACACGACACATGTGTTCCAGACCAGAGAGCTCTCTGGCCCTGAGCGACCCTTCAGATGAGTGACCAGATGAATAAATTATGGGGTCAGGTCAAGATGGTTGAAATAGGGTTGATAGTTGAAAAAGTCTGTATTTCCATCCAACTGCTCTCACAGCAAAAACTGATACCAAGTCTTGGAATAAGTCACACAGAAGACATCTGAAACCCTCCTGCACATGCCCCACAGCAAGAAACAGGAGTGCACCGGACAGATTGGGAGACAGAGGAACAACTTGCCAAGAAACTACAACATAGATTAAGAAGAGATTTCTCAGGTGTGAAACTGCAATCTGAGAGACAGATTATGCACATACCTGGCAGCTCAATCATAAAATCATATACATACTTACAGCACTGGAACTGGATGTAAGAAACCAGGGGGTATAAATAGGTTAGTCACCAATAGGCACCATCTTACTGAGACACTACATTGGATGTCACTTCCACAGTTACAGACCCCGAGGGCAAATTCCTTGGGTGAGTTCCACCCACCCCAAACTAATAACTGGAGGCTGAGACACTTGACTGCTTAAGCCTGCAGAACCAGATATCCCAGTTGATAACAGACTACTAGCAAGTCACAAGTTACAGTCAGAATGCACACACAAACTTCCCCAAACAGTTTACAAGGGGGTCCCACTGCCAGCTTTCAGGGCCAGCTCTGAATGGCACGCACTGAGGCTCCAGGCTTCTTTCTCTTCAGGACCCCCTTAACCCCCACCCCAATTCCCAAGCACACCCAGGTCTATGGCCATGGCAGCCTGGGGAACACCGGGCACTGGAGACTTTGAACCCTGGTTTCCACTGGCCCTCTAGGTCTTGGTAAACAGCTACTTCTGGGCATTTGTGATCTAAAACCCCAGGTTGCTCCTCAGTATATAAGAACGTGGCTCAGAGCTGCCAATGAGCCTTGTGGATGCATCCTTAGCTATCCTTCAGGTCTGCTCAACGTTGGTGCCCAATGTGCCTGGGAGCTTTTTAAGTCCACTTAATTTCTGGTATCCACTTTCCGAGCCTGATGAAACTTGGTGCCCCCGTGGGACTAGAAATCTTACACCCCAGTTCAGAATTGGCAGACAGCTGCCACTGGGCAGGTGTGACACTTGGGCCTACTCCAGTTGGTGCCTAGATACCCCAAGCACAAACTATTGAAGTCTAGGTTGCAGGCCAGACTTGCATAAGCACTAATATACACTGTCAGGTCTGCGAGGCTTTGAAGGCTTCAGTTCTGCCTGTCTTACTGTAACGAAGACAGTGAGTTTTGATTTAAAATTCAGGTGATGTGGGGTTGGAGAGACAGTGTCAGGTAGGGCATTACATTCTATGCAGCCCACCTGGGTTCAAGCCCCAGCACCACATATGGTCCCCTGAGTGCTGCCAAGAATGAATTCTGAGCACAGAGCCAGGAATTAGGCCACCATCACAGCTGAGTGTGGTCTCTTTTTCCCTCCAAACAGAAAACTTAGGTGATGGGATCAGAGAGACTACAAGGGTAAACTGCTTGCCTTGCATGTGGCCACCCTGGTTCTATCCCAGCACCTCAAGTCCCCTGAACACAGCCACTGGTCACTCCTGACACAGAGCAGGAATAGTCTCTGAGCTCTGCCTGAAGTTGTAAAAAAAAAATAAAATAAAATAAAAATGAGAGGTGAATGGGGTGGGAGAAGTCATAGAGGAGTTAAGACACTTGCATGTGGCACTACTAGTTTGATTCTCGGTACCATAAGGAGTGACTCCTGAGCAGAGCAACGAACAGCCCTAACAATGCAGGGTGTGCTCTCCCCACCAAAAGCCCCCAAATAAAAATAAAAGAGATAGCACAGGGGATTAAAGTGCAACATAATGTTAGACATGAAATCTTAAAATGCATTGATGATAACATTGACAATGCTTCAGAATACTGGCTTCAGGAATGTCTTTAGGGATTCCATTGTGACATCAAGGAAAACAAAAGCAAAACTAAACAAATGGTTCTATATCAATTTAAAAAGCTTCTAAACAGTAAAAAACTATCAATAAAAAAACAACCCTGAAACTAAAAGGCTAATCTCCTACAGGACAGGAGAAAATATTTATACTTTTTTACTTCCAACAATATGAAAGCCACACAGCCCTGCACCTGGCTGTCCTCACCAGGCCCCTTGGAGGAGGGGATGGGTTGAGTTTCCCTCCCTTCCTGGAGCAGAGCCCCAGCAACTGAAGACCTCCGGAACCCAGCCAAGCCATGCTCAAGATCACTCTTCACACGCTCGGAAGAGCCTCATGCATGAAGGAACCGGCAGAGGAACCCAGGTGTGCGGGACCTGGGGCTGAGATCTCCAAGCCTGCTCAGATTGGGACTGGGTTCCTCCACCCAGATCCCCCCATCTTCCAGTGGCTAAACAGTTACACCCACCAACTGGATGTGGTGCTGTGTAATCCTATCAATGGCCAAGATCCAGGACTATAAAACAAAGTTCCTGGAAGCACGTGGCCACATTTATGGCCGCACAGCCTTTTATTGTCTAGTTCTCACTTTTGGAGAACCCGGCAGGCTACTGAGAGTATCCTGCCCACACACCAGAGTCTGACAACCTCCCTGTGGCATATCCAATATGCCAAATCCCAGTAACAATGATGGGTCTCATTCCCCGACCCTGAAAGAGCCTTCAATATGGCACTTGCTAAAATCTCAGGGCTAGGACGAACGGAGACGTTACTGGTGCCTGCTCGAGGAAATCGATGAACAATGGGATGACAGTAATACCATGATACTTTCAACAAAGACTGATAACCAAGATACATAGATATTTTACAAAACTCATCAACCACCAACAGAAAAAAATAGGGAAAGAGCTGAAGACACACTCAATTGGTCCAACAGGCACAGGAGAAACTACTTAACATTTGTTCTCAGGGGAATGCCATTTAAAATAACATTAGACTTGTGAAAGTGGGACATACCAAAAAGGCCAGAAATAAGCCCTCACAGGAGTGAAGAGAAAAAGGAACCTCCATACAGTGTTGACAGAAATGTAAACTGACAGTCCCGCTGCATGTTAAACCTGGAGAATTGCATGGAGACATCCCAAAATAATAAAACAGATTTACCACAGATCTACCTGACACTTCCATCCCTAGGTATCTTTCTGAAAAATATGAAAAACACTTTGTCTGAAAAGATAAATGAACACCTTTCTTCATTATTCTCAATAGTCAAGATACTGAAAACACACACACACATGGAATACTACCTTTCAGCTTCAGGAAAAGATGGAACCTTTCCACAATACGGATAGGACTGGAGGAATTCATTCTGAGTGAAGGAAGTCAGGATGACAAATACTGTATGATTTTACTCGTGTAGTATATAAAAAAAAAATGCCAACCAACAGTGTCCAGTGAAAACAAATCTTTATAGACTATAACCACCAAAATGAGATCACTAACACTGGGGAGAGTGGGCTGAGAGGGCCCTGTGCACTTTGGCAATAGGTGTGGCGTGATACCATGCTTCCCCAAACATAATAAATAGCTCTACTCTGGTAGACCAATGCCATCTCATTAAAAAGTACAAAGATGAAACCTTGACAAATCTCGCAGGATATGGAGCTAAGTGAAGTCAGTTGGTAAGTTGGAAAGAGATAAATTATAAGATGATTTCACTCATTTATGAGGTATAAAGAAAGCAAAGACACAAATCTATAGTCAACTCATGTTCAGACTGAAGAACTAAGGATGTCAGGGGGTTCACGGGAGACAAAGAGGGTAGTGTGGGGAGTCAAGAGGGTGGAGGAGGGATTTTGCCACTTTGGTGGCATAGGAGTGTGTGACAACTTAAACGTGTGTATATGTTTTGAGGTCAGGGTGTCAGAGGTGGCTTAAAGGGCTGTAGATCATGCATTGGGTTTGTTCCCGGCAACAGGCTGGTCCTGAGCATACAGTATCACTGGGAGTGTCCCCTGAGCACTGAGCAACTAGCTATTAGTTGTCTTGACAACAACTAATCCCACAAGAATTTGGGAAGAATTCAAATTTAAAAAAATCCTAAAATAAGATCAAAAACCAAAAACCCTAAATACAACTCTCAGGCCCCCCACCCCCTGTGTTTGGGGGGCATTTTTTTTTTCTCTATCAAGAATCAAATCACGGTTGCACACACATAAGTATTTTCAACCACTGGTCTGCCAGTATAGAGAGGTTGAAAGCCACTGACAAAAATCAGTTGTTACCTCAGTTTAAAAAACAGAAAGAGAGCCAGAGAAGACTACAGTGCCCTACCACTTGCCAAGTGTACTTTCCAATTGAATCCCTGGCATTGCAAATGGATCCCCCAGTACTGCCAGGTACATCCTCAAAACAAAACAAAAAAAAAAGAGATTGTAAGGAGATCTCTTTTCGAACATTTCAGAGTACCTTATTATTATAAAGGAAAGGGAAAAAGTTTAAAGGTAAGATACTTAATACAGCAAGTTATAGCTTTAAAAACATCTTCAGTTGCCCATTTGTAGGAGCTAGATGTGGGTAAAAGAGCAGCATAGTGTTGGCTTATAAACTGAGAGTCAAAATGCACAGGTTAGTAGATGACAACCGGATTACCCAAATAGACTGACAAACCCTTAAGATGAATCTCTAAATACTATCTCACCAATGAAAAATTGTCTCTGATGTCAGAAGAAAAGAAAATAACCCCAATATTTATTTGTACATAGTTTTTTAATAAGCTAACATTTTTTACATGTATACTAGCAACCTTAAAAAGATAAATATCTACTACCAAATGCTGACTACTGTAACTTTATAAAAAATATAATTTAATGGATTTGAGTATAAAGGAAGGAACCTAACTCAAAATAGATTACATTACTGAAATTCTACCACTTCAGAAATTTAACCAGAAAACAGGAAATTTCCAATTTGTCTAAGGGAACACTTGAAACTTACTGATGGTAGGACCAATACGAATTTGGTGTATATCTTCATTAGTATATATTTTAATAAACTTTAAAAAGTATCTTCTCCCGCCCCCAAAAATTATCTTCACAGTACATATAACGCTGCTATCTGGGGTACATGACTGAGAGGGAAAGAGGACTGTTAAGGCTGGGAAGCCATAAGAAAAGGGTTATGATGTACACAACTTTATATCCCCTTAGATTCCAAAGTTTACTCTGGAACTACTTTGCCTTGTTCAAAGTAAAAATGGCGAAATAAGCTTTAACTCGAACTCGGAAAACACTTATTTCTACCTTTGGTCCCACCTGTGTATTAGGTCCTACTACTATCTTTGAAATACCTTTGGTTCATGGTCCGTGAACTTTTCCTCAGGGTAAGATAAACCAATGTGCCCATATTCTATCAAATTCCTAACAGGATCCTCAGAAATTAATTAAGCACTCTGTGGGAATCTTCCCGTAGGTGTTCTGATTCTTCTTAGATAACAAAAGTTATCACCAATATACAGAAATAATTCAGTTTCAGTGCTACATAAGTATGTTCATACAAGAAAGAATAAAGACCTTGCTTTCCCATTTTTAAAGATATAGTATCTATTTTAGACATAATTAGCAATTTTTAGCCACTGAACATAATACATCATATTACAATGCCATGTGGCAGACCTTCCATTTTAGGAAGAAAAATAAGTTTCACATGAAAGATTTATTTTAAATTTACAGAAAATACATTTAGAATAAATCTAAACTTTTAAGCACAGAAGTATTCAGAAACAAACACAGAGGGGTTTTAAGATGTATAGTTTCCATTCTGTTCAAAATCACAACTATTGATCATCACCTCGTTGCCTTAAGTTTCTAGATTTCCCATTTTCAAGTCTTCTCTTCTTGAAGACCGGGGCTACTCCATCTGCTATGCCTCCAAGGGAGGTGACTGTTTTTTCTTTAAATACCACGTCGGGTTCCCCATCAGCATCAACTTCTGAAGATGTCACATACTCATTTTCAGTGCTTGGAAGTTCCAAATCTACCTCTTCACTGGAACAGAAAGTAAAAATAAAAACATTATTTCAGAAACTGAGATTAGGAGCTGGGTTTGATCTCCACCACCACACATGTCCCCTCCCAGAATCACTGGTGGTGGCCCTGGAGTCACTGAAACACTACTGGGGTAGCCTGAGTGACCCCTGGTACCACAGGACACTGCTGCATGCCCAGGCCCTCACACTGAACCACTAGCTTGCTTGGCCGAGAACAACTATGCATGACCCCCAGGGTCTCCTGAGCACCCCCACAAACATTTATTTCATAGAATATGATCAAGTTCTAGATCTCCTGAGTCCACAAAAACCCTAAGATCATTTAATGAGTAATAAGCTATAAATTATTTTAGAGTATAAACATATCTTAAATGACCAGTTTCATAATATTTATAATACTATACACTGGGACTGGTAATTTAGTTCAGTGGTACAGCACTGTCTTGATTTTGTGAGGCTGTAAGTTTGATCCCCTGCATCACATGAATACAAAAAAAATTACTATGTGGAAATGTAGCACATAAATATTGCACATATTTTTTATTCCTGTATCATAAAGTGTATATAATTATATAAATACTTGCACCTGAATGTGTTTGGCAGTACAAATTCTATAGGTGGATAAGGTGGCTGTACAAATTCTATAGGTGGGTAAGGATACAGCTCTTATCCAAGTTAGCTATGGACAGACAAGGACTGTGGCTTTATGCAGCAAAAGAGGAAAACACAGGAATATTAATGTCCTAGGCTGTAGACCCAATGGGGTTATGTATATAGCACCTCTTTCTAAGATCCAGCCCTACAACTATGAAGGTGGTTAGTATATGTAACAACTGACTAGTCCTGAAATTAGTATCTGATTAACAGAAGCCTATGCTTGAATTAACTGGTCTATAAAAGATCAGGTTAGTCATGCTATATACACCAATCAGTCCCTTTCATGAGCTCTTTGAAGACGAACTAGAAAGACTATCATGTTTAACTCTCTAGTGGTTAAGAATAAAAACTATTAGGATCTCTTATTCTGCTATTTAGAGAAAGGAATTATGTAGAAGAACAAAGCTGACATGCAGAAAAGAGCACAGTTGGGAAATAATGACTCCTTGGGCTGAAGCAATAGTACAGTGGATAATGTGTTTGCCTTGCACATGGCTGACCCAGATCTGATCCCTGGCATCTATTACAGTCCCCTGGGCAATGCCAGGAGTAATACCTGAGAACAGAACCGGGAGCAACTCCTAACCATTGCCAGGAGTGTCCCCAAAAGACAAAAAGAAAGGGGGTAGAGCAAAAGTATAGTAGGTAGGGTGGCTGCCTTGAACGTGGCTGATTTGGGTTCTATCCCTGGCACCACCTATGATCCCGAGCACAATGCCAGGAGTAAGTCCTACTACTTTGGCCTCCAAATGAAACATTTTTGGAGGGCTGGAGCAACAGTACAGTGGGTAAGGCACTTGCCTTGCAGGCAGCTGACCCAGGTTCAATACCAGCATCCCAGGTGGTTCCCTGAGCACTGACAGGAGTAATGCCTGGGTGCAGAGTCAGGAGTAAGTCCTGAGCAGCACTGGGTATGGTCCCCACCCCAACACACATACATACACACACACACACACACACACACCCTCTACAAATGTTTTAGATCTGGTTCTAGTGATCCCTTAAGCCCAAGCCAATTCCAGTACCACAAAGATCCCGAAACCAGAGTTGTAACCCTGGTAGCCGAGTACTAGGTGGGCTCAAGCAGTCAGTGCCAGGAGGGGCACAATGGCGCCTACAGCACTATACGGTGCAGCCCCTACTCAAATAAACCAAAGAGATCATTTCAGGGTACTTACTGAGACTCAGTTTCTTGTTTAATTTCTTGCCATTGTCCATATGGAGTAGGAGTTGTTTTTTTATGAACTTTCGGCTTTTCTTCTTTAGAAATGGATGAATTCTGTTCCTGGCTTTTTCTACCTTTTTGTGTTCCTGATTCATTTCCTTTATCATTACTACTTTTCTTTTTTATCTGAAATGTCAAAGAAATAATACACTTCAAATGTTAAATAAGAATAAAAACAATTTCTTTAGTTTTACTGATTTATAAATACTTATTACAAACACACTTAAATTGGTATTTAAAACAAAGTCCTTAAAATAACAGTATTTTCATTATGTCTAAAATAACATAGTTAAAAGCTATTCTTTTTTCTTCTTCCTGAGGGCTTATTCCTGGCTCTGAAGTCAAGAATCTACTCCTGGCAGGCTCAGGTGACCACACAGAGTTCTGGGAATTGAACCTGGATCAGTGGCATGCAAGGCAAACATCTTATCCATGTACTGTTGCTCCAGCCCCTGCTTGTAATATTCATTTTCCTCATATACTAATTTTTTTAGTTTTGGAGCAACACCTGACAACGCTCAGTGCTTACTCGTGGCTATGAGTTCAGGGTTCACTCCTGGAGAGCTGGAGGTACCATATGATGTGCCAGCGATAGAACCCAGGTTGGCTGCATGCAAGGCAAACCTCCAACCTGCTGTATTCTATCTATTACTCTGGCCCCTCAGTTACTAAACATTTTTAAGCATACTTTTAATAGATACTGCTTCAAATTGGATATTGCTTGACACTTTCAAGAATACAGAATTTTCAGAGACTTCATTTTAACAAGATAACAATCCTCAAAATTTAAAGCCAGGACCCAGAATTACATATTCCCCTCCCCACCCCCATGCTTTTCTATTTCTGCTAGCAATTTATTTCAAGTAGATCAATCTAATCAGATAGACCTAATTATTTATTTTCACATTTCCCACTTAATCTCCTTGCTCCCATGTCCTTATCCTCAGGTAATCTTAGTTCTCGGACTACCATGAAAGGTTGCTTTTTAAAATAATAAAGTATGATTTTCTTAATGCTTTGCAATGAAAGACATATTCTGGAGGGGCTGGAGTGAGTGACAGTACAGCAGAGAGGGTGTTTGCCTTGTACACTGCAAATCTGATAAGATCCCCTGAGTATAGCCAGGTGTAATTTCTGAGTGCAGAGTCAGAGTAACCCCTGAACATCTCTGGGTATGACCCAGAACGCAAAAGACATATGCTGGCCCTTTTCTTCCTCTCTTCCCTCCTCAGTTACATATCTAGTAGTCCAGTAGTGTAGTAGTGACTTCGTTACAATGAGATGGGGAGAAGGAAAGGTGGGGAGTAAGAAGGGTGGGGGGAGAGGGAGGAAAGGAAGGGGAGGGAGAGGGAGAGAGAGAGAGAGAAAGAGTGCGAGCGTGAGTCTATCATACAGGCAGGCAGGGGTGGAATGGGTGGGGAGGCCATTGGACTACGAATCTTGGTGGTGAGAGGGAAATGTACACTGGTGAAGGGACAGTTGTTTGAGATTATATGACTGAAACCCGATCATGAACAACTTTGTAACCGTGTATATCAACCGTGTATATCAAAAGACTCAATTAAAGAAATTAATGCAATACAATGTGCCCCTTCTCTTTTTGGAAGGAGGATGTGTTTGGGTTGAACCCTGTACTACTTAGGGGCAACTCCCAACTCTGTGCCAGGGGGTCACTCCAGGGAGTGCTTTGGAAACCACGCAGTACTAGGGACTGAGTCACTGTTGGCTGTATGCAGAGTCAGCCTTAAACCTTGTATTCTCTCTACAATGTGCCTCTTTTGATATTAATTCCATGTCCCTAGAACTTCTCTTACATGGTCTCTATTTAAAAAACTCCCTCAACCTATTAATCTTAACTATGCTGGCTCTGCACTCAGGGATCACTCATGAAGTGCTCCAGAGACCCTAAGGGGTGGTAGGGATAGAACCCAGCTGGCTGTAAGGAAAGAGCCTTACCAGCTCTATTATCTCTCTGGCTCCATCCCAGTGGTATTCAAGGACCATGCTGTGGTGGGGACAGGACCTAGGCCTTCAGTCCTTTGACCTATCTCTCTTGCTTCCCATTTTGAGATTTATGGCACCAAATTGTTGATGATACTCAAGTTAGCTTTTTTGGTTTAGACCAAGACTTGCATGCTCATAGCAACTGCTCTGAATGTCCTGCTAACAAACCATTATGATACAATCATGTACTTAGTTGTCTTTGCTTAATTTCTACCTTCTACTAAAAAACTAGTCTGGAGAGCCTTATATAAAAATTGACAAACTTTAATAAATAAAAACTCAACTCAATTCAAGAACTTACCGTAAACTTTATTTTCTGTTTTTGTGTTTCTGTTGAGACTTCTCCTTTCTCTGCTTCCTTTTCCTCATCAGAATCACTATGTGAATCTGATGATTTGGAATCTTCTAGGGTGCCATGTGCCTTTTTGCTGACCTTACTAGAAGGTGAACCGCCAGATAGTGGAATAAAATCATCAGGTTTTTCCCATCTGGATTCTATTTAACACATTTTAACAGTCATGTTATTTAATTAGCAATTATATTCAGACTTCTCAAATACTTTCTGCCACTTATATAACAACATTTAATCTATTTCATATTATTGCTTGAACAAGAGAATAAATAAATGCAAAGTTCTTGCTCTTTTATCTTTCAGAAACTGACCCCAAATAATCTTACACGTAAAAACTAGGCCCCAGTGTAAAGAGACCAAAGACCTGGGTTTCTAAAGTCTCTCATTAGTTATCTGATAACAATGTCTGGCAATAGGTGATAAGAAGTACACTTGAAAGTACACTTCAGATTTCGCGGAATTTATCACAAAGATTTCTGGGGATCTTTACAAAGTGAAACCATACAGTGAAGATCTGAATACATGAATTAAATATTCTGAATAAAAATAGTCCGTCATATTTATTATGCCAGGAAAAAACCCCACTACTTCACTAAACTCTACTGCCATCTAGTGGCTTAATGGATTTTTAAAAGGATAAAGAATTTTGAATTATTTTGCAGTTATTCTTTACTTTTAATTTAGTAAAAGGGAAAGGGCTTCTAAAATATATACTGACCAACTGGAATAGAGTAAAGAGTAGAAGAAGCTCCATTAATAATTACAATATTCCAGAAGGTGGAGAGATAGTAAAGTGGGTCAGGCACTTGCCTTGTATGTGGCTCACCCAGATTTGATCCCTGGTATCCATACGGTTCCCTGACTACTGCCAAAAGTAATTCCTAATTGCAGAGCTAAGAGTTATCCCTTAGCATGGCCTGGTGTTGTCCAAAAGAAGAGAGAAAATTACAATGTTCCAGAAGTAAACTAAAACTATTAATTTTTTTCTTTTTTTTTTGGGGGGGGGGAGGGTATGCGTGTGTGTGAAGGGGTGCATATCCAGTGATGCTCAGGGGCTACTGACTCAGGGAACCATATGCAGTGTCAAGGAAAACCAGGGGTGGCAGCATGTATGGCCAGATACCTCCTGTACTCTCCGGTACTCTCTCTCTGGCTCAAATGAGAACCGCTGAAGACAAACTTATATATAGTGCCTTACTAATATAAAGTACTTTCCAACACTAATCAAAAGCACTATTTTCCTTACCTATATATTCACAAAGAATTTTCAGAACACAGATAAATTAAGTACCTACTATGTACCAGGAATTATATTAGAAATTTGGTTGACACATTGTCCTTCAAGACTTTACAGAATGCATAAATCATCTATTTTTTTTTTTAACCTAGATGTAACTGCAGATTCTGTGTTGTGCCCAGTCACAGGGTTCTAATGGAACAAGATGTATACTGGGTTCAGATCTAACTCAAGAAATATCTCAAATCACTATTTTATCTCTATGACGAATGAGTACCTCAATTTTACTAGACAGAAACATTGCTATCTTCGGGCAGGTGTCTACTAGGTGGTTAAAAGGTTCATTCCTTTTAAACATTCAATGCTATGAAGAGATCTTTGGATAGTAGGCATTCAGGAAAAGGCCCCAAACTCTCAAAGTTTTACAAATATTAAATACTATAGCAATTCTAGAAAAATTGATTATAGTAGAAACTGCACAAATTAAAAAAATTTCAGGACCAGTTTTATGAAATTCAGCTGATGTTTAGGTAATCATGCATATTTATAAGTGTTTATATAATGAACATTATTAAACAGTAAAAGCAAAAATTTAACAATCCAGTTACGTCAATGATTTTTTTCCCCTGGGTTTATTAAAGGAAAAAGTGTCCAGATTTGTGGTTCAGTCGTAAAGTGCATGCCCCCCAAAAGGTGTGAGTTGGGGAGAGAGGTCAGAGTGCTGGGGGAATACTTTGCATGTGAATTTTGATCCAAGTGTCAGCAGGTGTGACCTCAGAGTACGGAACCAGGCATATTCCCTGTCCACTGTTGGGCTCCTTCCCTAAGTGGGGAAAAAAAGGTGCGGCTAGGGAAGTAGCTCAGAGGCAGACCACTTGCCTTGCAAATGTGAAGTCCTAGCTGAAAGAACTGGTTCCTGGCACTACCGTTAAAGAGAGATCAGAGACCGCATTTTTTTTCCCTCTGGAAAGAAAGATGGCAGCCACTTTGGAGCTTTATGGAAAGCCAGGTATGAGCCGGTCGTGATGGGGCGACTGAAACCTCATGGGAAGGGGGGCGTTCCCGGCTCATCCTTCATGCCCTACTGAGGTCAGGAGTTGCCCACCACGAGCGGCTCTCCGGCATGAACATGCCTCCAGAGCACAGAAACCAATCATAATTATCTGACTCTCAGCAGAAATACCTCCAGGCGTAATAAGTAAAATACCAGAAATCCAAAAAAAAAAAAAAAAAGGGGATCAGAGAAATAAAACAGGGGCTAAAGTGCTTGCCTTGACTGCAGACACCTAAGTTCAATCCCTGGAACTTCATAGGATCCCTAGAGCATAGCCTAGTGGGTCTTAACACCAAAAACAAATAACTCATCTGCCACCTGCCATAACCCCCGACACTCACTCCACAAAAGGCAAATTGAAAATCAGGTGATCTCTCAGTTTCCAAGATAAATATTTCTAAAAAAATCATGATAAAAATAAAATATGGGGGGCTGGAACATTAGTACACCGGGTAGAGCGTTTGCCTTGCACGCGGCCTACCCGAGTTTGATTCCCAGCATCCCATATGGTCCCCCGAGCACCGCCAGGAGTAATTTCTGAGTGCATGAGCCAGGAGTAACCCCTGTGCATCACTGGCTGTGACCCAAAAAGCAAAATAAATAAATAAAATATGGGAAATAAAGTAATCATCTTGTGAAATTTTTCAAGTACAGGCTCAGGGAATGCCCGTTCCATAAACAGAAACTATGAATTCTATCTCCAGTGCAACTCACACATACTGAGTGCAGTGCCAGTAGCTCTTCTATTCGGGAACACCCCTCTCCCTGGCCTGCCTCAACAGAATGTGTGAACTCTGATGCAGAGCCAGGTTTGTGCGAGTACTAGGACTGAGAGGAACGCAAGCACCCTGGAGGCACCATGGCTAGGGTAGTGTAGCACAATTAACGCAATCTCCCATGCCTCAGAAAATATGCAAGTATAACTAAGGTGTGCACCCCCTGGCTGGAACTATGAGGCCTGCAATCATATGTGTGGCCCCCAGTTACTGCATCAAAAATAATAAAGGAAGGGTGGGGAGCCTTGTAAATACAGCATTGAGAATTACAATGTGGAACACAGTATCCTTGAAAAAGTATGGAAATTATTTTTGCTTTTCAGTTGCGAATTTTTTTAAATGGTTAATTTTTGGGGTTGTTTTTTGACCATACTAGTGGTGCTCAGGGTTTATTCTTGGCAGGGCTCACGGAGCCATATGAAGTGTGTTGGGGATCGAGCTCAGGTCGGCTGCAAGTAAGGAAAGTGCCTTGCCCATTATACTCTCTCTGGCTCCTTATTATTATTTTTTAATTAAAAAAACACATATTTGTTATAGAAACATGCTTATCAATATACTAATACCCCAAGTTCATATGATTCAACAACAGGCTAATAAACAGATTGATGTACAATTTTAAATAGTCAAAATAATCTAAAACAATACATACCTCCTGTTTCTGCATTATAATAATAGGTATACCCATCTTCACTTACTCCTTCGACCCAAACAGTCTTCAATGCTGTCTAATGGGAGGGGAAAAAAAAAATCCTGCATAAACTGAAGATAAAGCTGTAGTTATATATTAAATAAGTAAGGCAGCGTTGGCCTGCCTACCCTTTCTCTTTGACACTTAGGAGTTAAGAGGTGTACTGATCATGACCTGAAAGTCTGGTCTAATTAATCATGAGCTAATTTTCAGGGAGAGCCCCATCTCTGAAAATGATAGCAACTGTCCTGTGTGAAGCTTTTAGGCAGACATCTGTTTTTTAGCCCTCTACCTCTCCACCCCAGACTTTTGGCCAAAGAACTAGAAGAAGAAAAAAACAGTGTATGTGTTCTGGGGTTCAGGGTATTCTTATCTGGGGAGTAAATTTACTTAAGCAAACTCCACACAAACCCTAGAAGTCAATCATTTTAAAGAAATAGAGACACTACTTATTAATGTACTTCAGTTACCTTTTTTAGGCTTCCTTGAAATTCTTCAGGTTTCTCCCACTGAGTTGCTTAAAGTAAAATACATTGCAATTATATTATTTCTGCTTAAAAAACAGAAATAAACAACTTTCAAAAAGATTTAAGTTTGGCAACATTTACAAAATATTCAATGTGTGCAAAACACTACAGGTATGTAGTTAAAAGCTTTAAATATGAAATCAAAAATACAAGTGAATACAATGTAACCAAAATCAGAAATTCCTTATACTGCACAGGAATTATAGGACCAGACAAGACTTCTTTTATGTTTGGGTCAGGGAGTTGGCGGGAGGAGGGGCTGCATACCTGGTGCAGTTCTGGGCTTACTCCTAGCTCTGCTTCAGGGAATCATTTGTGGCAGGGCTCCGGGGACCATAGGGGGTGCTGGGAGCCAAACCCAGGACAGCTTTGTGCAGAGCAAGCACCCTTCTCTCCAGCCTCAACAAGGCATCTTTTAAAGACTATGTAATTACGGTCTGAAAACTTTTAAAGAAATGAGATGATCTTTTAACATCCTGGAGCAACGTGGTCATAGTACAGAGATAGTACACTGGGTAGGACGTTTGCCTGGCACACAGCCAACCCAGGTTTGATCCCAAGCATCACTGAACCCCAGCAGGAGAGTTCCCTAAATGCAGAGCCAGGTGTAAGTCCTGAGCATCACTAGGTGTGGCCCAAAAACAAAACATGACGGAATGAAAGTCAGAAGAAGAAGAAAAAAAAAGCAGTAATTCAAAACAAATACAAATACTGCTGAGAGCAGGAAGATATAACGTAGGATGGAACAAAGCAACAGGCACCAGGGAGAAAAGATGTTAACATTTCTACATAAAACTGGTAAAGACTTGCAAACAAAATATTACTATTTGTATAAGTTCCAAATGTAAGAATTATAGTATTATCTGTAGCTAAAGATTTTCTTACTAAATAACTTTAGTCTCATACCTTCTTGACCATTCTCAACTTTCTTTTGGATTTTCAATCCATTCCTACCCACCTTTTAGTCTGCTTTTTCTATTTGATCTCATATATCCTAAAAGTCAAAATATTATCTGCACTCCCAGATTATCTTCGTAACTACTGAAAAAGCGCATGAATGCTTTAAAGGTACTGCAACCTCAACATAGCTATCAACACATCTACAACTGAACACATAATGCACACTTAAACTTAAGACCATTTTGGAATTGGAATTTCATATCTTAGTTAATAGATCCTCCTCTCTAATATGGCCCAGTTTATTTTTTCAGTCTTTCTGTCTGCCATGAAATCTTCAAAGAACCTCTACCAGATAATTTTCCCCCAAACTTTCAAACCTGTTTACATTCACATTATTTCACATGCCTGGAATACATGCTTAAAACCTATCAAATCTTTTCATTACATTATCTATGAAGAGTCTGCATGGAACCAGGCATTTTAAGATGTACAAGTGGAATAAATCAGCATTCAACCACTGGTGAATGGATGGTGCTTGTCTGCAGTTTAGAAAGGTTGAAAACCAATGGTCTGTCAGCAGTCCATGGATCAAATGCAGAACAGGTGCTGATTCACAGGTGCAAAAGTAAATTGCATAATCCCTCCTGATTTTTTCATTTTATAGAAGGTCTGAGGAAGATCTGAGGTATACGCAAAAGTAACTTTGGTGAGGGCCAAAGTTTTAGAAGATTTATTGAGAAAATGTAGTTTTTAGAAGATTTATTGAGAAGTTTTAGAAGATTTATTGAGAAAATGTAGTTTTTAGAAGATTTATTGAGAAGTTTTAGAAGATTTATTGAGAAGTTTTAGAAGATTTATTGAGAAAATGTAGTTTACCTGTAGCAAACCCTTTATTAAAGACTTTACTAAGCAGGGTATTGACTAAGGCGCTATCAGTATTCTTTGTTGTGCTGGGACAGAACCCACATCTTCATCATGTAATTCAATGCATGTACTACTGAGCCACATGCCCAGTCCTGAGAAGGATAACTTTTTAACCACTTATACCACTTCAGGGAAAATGCAGTTATAGTTTATCATAGTTGGAATGTCTTGTTACTAACTAAAAAGTTCTGATACAAAACAACCATTGTGGACTGGAGCAATAACACAGCTGGGCCTTTGCCTTGCATGCCAACAACCTGGGTTTGATCCCGGCATCCCATATGGATCCCCAAGCACCGCAGGAATAATTCCTGAGTGCAGAGCCAGTAGTAACCCCAGAGCTTTACCAGTTATTCCCAAAACCCAAATTAAAAACAAAAAACCCCCCAACAAAATAGTCACTGTTCTTTACGAGTTTAATGCCTAAAATGACTCACCTCCTGTGGTAAGATCATAATAGTAATGGTAACCCTCAGAAGTTAAGCCTTCTATCCATCGGTCCTTTGAAGAGTCTTTTTTCTTTTTCTTTTTTTCTTTCGGTTGACTTGATGAAGGAGGAGGTGGGACAGTGCTGGTTACTGGTGATACGCTTTCCTCCAAAATGTCTAGGGGAAAAAAAAAGTGAATCAGCCTCCCAAGACACTTTTTAAACACTGGCATCAAGATATTAAAATCATTACAATGAAAAGCCTAACAAGATTCCTTTGGAACCTGACATTTTACCATAAAGTTCATTTGGATTACTATACGTGCATGACAGAGAACTAAATAACTGGTTAAGGGATTCTATACATTTGTTCTATGGGGAGGAGAGATAGCACAGGTAGAAGGGTGAGAGTTTCCAAGGAAAAAGGTGGGGGCACGAGGGACTTGAGCGTTCGGTGGCCGAAAACCGTTCCCCTGGCCGGCGCACCGTGGCGACAGGTGAATGAAGGACGGGGGAACCAGAGAAACAGGAACTGGGCCCCAGGCTGGTCAGTAGACAGTTTCTCTCCTCCCAGCATAGTCCGATCTCTCCCCTTACAGCGCAACCGTAGTCGTAGTTCTGTTCGCAATCCCAATCATCATAGTTCATCATCCTACTCTCCTCATAGACGTCAAAGTCCTCTCCTTTGTTATCTCCTTCCTAGTCTCCCTGTAGTCTCACAGACTCCTCATAGTCCTTGTATTCTTGTCCTCAAAGTCCGAAAGTCTCAAAAGTCTCAGTTCTCCTCCTCTCTTCCCCTTACAGCAGAGTTATATAGAAATCATGAAGGGTGAAGTACACATTGGTGGAGTTAACACTGCCATAACAACAAACAGATATAAAGCCACTCCTTCAGGGGAAGTTCTAGATGAACTCAATGACAAAATCTCATCTGAGGGTTCAGCACTTCAGATTACTAGGAGATCCACTCAAGGGTGGGATTCCATCCAAAGAGTACCGCTTTCTCCTTTTCTCAGCTAGCAGTCCACTTAAACAATCATAGTGAATTTACTTCTTATAACATTTCTAGTCATTTTGTATGAGCACAGTAAGAGATACATTAAGCTTAAAGACGGGCTCTTTCTGAGATCTCGCCATGTATATCCCAGATTACAGTCCTCAGGCCAGGTTACTCTTTCCTAACCCCAGCAGGGTCTTTATTCAGTTACTTCTTTTTGGGTCGTTACAAAGTTTGACCATGCTCTTAACGCTTCTTATGGCACTTAGCTTGTCCCTGTCCAACGCCAGGGTAGCTTACAGGGTAGTCTGCCGTGGGTCCATCCAGTCCCTTTGCTGGGACCCTGCTTTGGGAGTGCTAGGAACGAAGGGCAACTGAGGCTGAAGTAAATATGATGGATGCCCACGAGTAAATATTATTTCGGAGTCAATTCCCATGCTACAAAAGCATAGCATCAACTGTCTTCCTCTGTCTAGACAAAAAGTCCATTGCTAAACCATGCAGTGAAATAAAGGAAAGAGAAAAGCAATATAGGATTATTAGTGCCTGGTAAAATTGGGTCTCTTAGGGTAACTGTTGTGGGAGTTGCTCAGTAAACCTAAGCGCCCTGTGAGAGGAGCAAGGACAACCCAACGTTATCCAACAGTAGGGCACATGCTTTGCCTGTGTTGAACTTGGGTTAGCTCCCAGGCACCACATGGTCTCCGAGCATCAACAGGTGTATCCCTGAGGCCATGGAGCACCACCAGGTGGTTCCTGGCACTGCAGTGTCTGAGTAGCACTGTATGCGCAGGCTCAAGCACTGAACCACGAGCCCAGTGGGCTGAGTACTGCCCAGAATGGCTTCTAGCAGTCTCTCACAGCACTCGTGGTTGCCCTCTACCACATTAAGAAGGGTTAGTTTATTCCTACCTTGCTAAGAGTTTATTAGCAAGGTTTTGAACTATTGAAAATAGTTTTTCAATCATAACATGTTTATACTAAATGTATTACGTCCTTTCAGGTTTTTTTTTTAAACATCTAGCAATTGGGGTTTTTTTGGGCTATACCCAGTCATGTTCAGGGGACCATATGGAATGCTGTTGATCAAGCCCAGGTCAGCTGTATGCAAGAAAAATGCCCTATCTGCTGTACTATCACTGTAATCCTTATATGACTTTTTATTTTGGGGCTGTACCTGGCTATGCTCAGGGGTTAGTCCTGGCAGTGTCTGGAGGGCCATATTGGGTGCTAGGCATTGAACCTGAGTGAATCATATCCAAGGCAAGCATCTTGCCTGCTGTACTATCTCTCCAACCCCATCTATACAGATTGTTATTACAATACAACATTAACACATTTACGAATCATTGATATTTTTAAACATAAAGCTAATATTTGTTTTTTAGGGTAAAACACTTCCCCTTAAAAATATTTTGTTTCTCGGACACACCCAGCAGTTCTCAGGGCTTACTCTTGGATCTAGGGTCACTTCTGGTAAGGTTCGAGGGTCCATAACGGGTGCAAGCTTGTAAACCCAGGTTGGTCACGCGCAATGCAAGTGCCCTACCCATTTACTCTGGCCCCTACCCCCTCAAAATTTTAATTTTCTTCCCACTTATTTTTAAAATTTATACCTATTACAAAGATATAGTTATTTTTAAAATGCTATAAACTTTAAGGTTTACAATTTTGTGGAATTTCAGGCGTTTAGCTTTTATCTATAGGTGTTCAGAGTAACTTGTGTTCATACCTCCCAAGATAAAAAAAAAATCTCTCTCATAGGCTAGATATAAAGAAACATTGTAAAGGAACAATAAATAGCCTTTGGAGCTAGTGATTCTGTCCACAGAACTGAGGTTACCTGGGGTTTAAGGGTGGGCTGGGGGGACTCTGGTGGATGGAGGTGGGTTCTCTGGTGATGGATGTGGTGTTGGAATGATGTATGAAGGAAAAGTATTATAGTACTGTAAATCATGGTACCTCAATAAAAATGGCAAAAATTTTAAAATCACCCCAAAATAAATGTTCAAAAAATAATGCAAATTAACATGGAAATTCACATATTCAATAAGATAAAAATATAAATATTTACTATAAATATTCACAAGTATGACGTGAAGTTAATGCCTTCTAATAAAGATCCCCTGCAAATCCAATATTCTAAAAAAGTCCAAATGTAATTTGTAGTCATACAATTAATTTACCTTCACTAATATTCAAATGGGCTAGAGCTATAGCACAGCGGTAGGGCGTTTGCCTTGCACGCAGCCAACATGGCCGACCCGAGTTCGATTCCTCCGCCCCTCTCGGAGAGCCCGGCAAGCTCCCTGTGACGTATTCGATATGCCAAACACAGTAACAACAAAGTCTCCAATGGAGACATTACTGGGCCGAGCAAATCGATGAACAACGGGAGGACAGTGATGTATAACAGTGATGTAATATTCAAATAAATAAAAATATATATGTATTTGGGGGAGGGTCCACACCTGATGGTGCTCAGGAGTCACTCTTTGCAGTGCTTGGGGGACTACATATGGTGTCAAAGATAAAACCAAGTTCAGCTGCATGCAAGGAAAGCGTCTTTCCCCCTGTACTAGTTCTTTAGCCCTGAAATAAGTCTGTATTTTTTACAGTAGTACTTTTAAGTACTGAAAAGAATGACCAATTTCAGTGTTAGTATGACTCTTCAAATAATTTTACATGAGTGAAAAGATGAGTAGTAGGACTTTTTCCAAAGGATTGGGCAGTTATTCCAAACACTGAATAAAAAATTAATTTTATTTCCAGCGAAAGTGTAAATCAAACACTTCTAAAGGCAGCTTGGAATTGGTTATCAATATATAAAATACAACCCAAGCACAAAAAATTGTAAATCTACAACTGTACCTCATGGTGTTTCACTAATAAAAATTAAAAAAAAAAAAAAGTAAAAAAAATATATAAAATACAGTCATGTCATGATTCTGCAATTTCTAGAAACTGAATTCGATAAACATAAAAACATGTATAAAGATTAAATGCTCACTAATTAAGACATTTTAAGCCCTTTATTAAATGTTTCACAAGTATCACTGTGATCAACAATTTATATAGTTATTTTAGTAAAATCTGTGTACTAAGAGTGATTATGTTGATTCCAAACATAATTCCTAATCACCCTTTATTTATTTTTCTTTTGGGGTCACACCTGGCAATGCACAGAGGTTACTCCTGGCTCTGCACTCAGGAATTACCCCTGGTGATGCTCAGGGGACCATATGGAATGCTGAGAATCAACTCAGGTCAGCTGCATTAAGGCAAACACCCTACCTGCTGTGCTATTGCGCCACCTCCTCCTAATCACTCCTTAGTCCCTAAAATAAGGACTAGTACAGTGGGGAGGGTGCTTACCTTGCACGAAGCTAAGCTGGGTTTGATCCCTGGAACCTCATATGGTACTCAGAGCACCACCAGGGGTAATTCCTGAATGCAGAGCGAGGAGTAACACCTAAGCATCAACACCTCCCCCAAATATTTTATCATTAAAGAAAAAAACATGAAATTTCAACTTCCAAATAGATCACAGTACAAAATATATGGTGTAACTTTACACACATGTGTATGTATCTGTAATTAGATACATGGTTTTTTTGGTTTTTGGTTTTTTTTTTTGCATGGAGAATTGAACATAAGGCTTCACATTTATCAGATATATATTCTATACCTGAGCCACATGTTCGGTCCAGAATTTAGTCAAAAGTTTTCTTTATTATAATTTTCAGAGAATATACATTCCTTTAAAAATACATTTAAGAAAACAAAGATATAAAAAATATTTAATTAAAAAATTAAAGGGACAGGAGAGAGTACAAAGGTTCAAATCCTTGCCATGATGTATGGTTCTTTGACGACTGCCAGGGGCCAATCCTGAGCACAGAGCAAGGAGTAACACAGGGTGCTTGAATAAGTGAAAATAAATGAAAACAAATATACGGGGCTAGACAGGTAGTTAAGAGACTAAGGTACTTGCCTTCTACACAGCACACCCGGGTTTGACCCCTGGCACCTGGAGCGACCCTCAAGCTCAGAGCCGGGAGTAGCTCTCCCCACTTAGCACTGCTGGTATGACCCAAACCTCACCCTCTGACAAAATAAAACAACTATGGAGCCCCTTATCCTCATAAAGTGAAGTATACCCCCCAGAACTAATCATGTATAGGGCAACTTTAATTTTTAAACTTTTCTCAGACACAGGATATTTATTCTTTGTAATAGTGATGCTGGTGGGTTGAGATCCCAGTGAGGTAGGGAGTGTAAAAATCTCCAAGAGATCCTGCAGGGATGCACACAGTAAGTTTCTGCCAGCCTCACGAAGGAGAACCTGAGACTCATTCACTTTGCACACCATGAACGCTGGACACTACACCTAAATTCTGGGGAAGCCATGGTTCTCAGACTGAGGTGAGGTCATCCTCCTTGCAGGAAAATTAGTCCCAATCACTACCCACATTCAGGCTCTTGGACTGCTGCAGGAAAAGACTTGTTAGAGAAACAGTGAAATTAAACAGTTTTATTGATTGAGTTTATTTATGTTAAGAATTATGTACTCCAACAGAGAGGAAGCAGCAAGCCTGAAGAAATGAAGGAAGGTGGGTGATACAGCCTGGGTTCAGTTCTCGGGACTGCATGGTTCCCTGAGTGCCATCTGAGGACTAGCCCCCATTAAAAATAAAAGCAGGGTGGGATGGGGGGATGGGGGGTGGGAGGAATACTGGGATTAGTGGTGGTGGAGAATGGGTACTGGTGGAGGGATGGGTACTCGATCATTGTATAATAAACCCAAGCACAAAAATTTGTAAGTCTACAACTGTACCTCATGGTGTTTCACTAATAAAAATTAAAATAAATAAAAAATAAAAGCAACGCAAAAGTGCATGAACGAAGTCCTAGTTTAAATGGGGTTATGATGGGGGCTGATGGAGAGTTCAAACACATGTTTCCAATGCCAGTTTGATCCCTGATACTGCATGCCCCTTTTCCACCAAGCATTGTTAGATATAGACCTGGAGGGCCCTAAGCTCCATCAAGTATTTTCCTAGAGGCCCAAGAGTACCATTTGGGTGCATTTAGTGATCCGTGGCATAGTAGGAGCCTCACAGCACTGTATCCTTAGAAGTTTGCGCTGAACTGCCAATCTGGATGGCAAGAACTGCTGGGAAGGCCCCCTATCCCCACAAGTAGCATTTGGGAATACCCCATCAATAAAATAAATGGGACTGTAATAAGGAAAAGCACAAAGAGCAGACACTGAGTAAAATCTTCTTTATAAAAACAACTAACGCTCACTTAGCATGACCTCTGATGTTACTTTTAAAACATGCTGGCTGCTTTTTTACCTGACTTTAAGCCAAGCCTTTTCAAATCCTCTTGGTATGCTTTCAGGGCAGCCGCCTCCATTGCAGCAAACTCCTTTGATGCTTTTTCTTCTTCCTTTGCCTTATCCAAGCTTTTCTGTTTAATCTAAGAAAGACACATACGAAAGTTAGATAAAGTACTGACATTTACATAAAAAAAATTGGCAAACAAAGTGAATTACCTCACTGATCCTCTTTGCCACATTTTCCTTATGATTCTTTCCTCTTTCATGAAATTCAACACTCTTGGAAGAGAAAATACAAAGGAAAAATACATAAACATAATGTTAATACTAAAGTAGAAAAGTAAACATGGGGCTAGAACATCACTGAAACTAAAACAAATGACAGAAAAAAGATAAAAATAATTTTAATGCAAATTGTTTCATCAAATGATGCTATGGAACTGACTACACTATTATTATGTCCTTTGATTTCCTTTGGTGCTTAATATAAACTATGATGATCACAGAAATGGAAAAAATCTTTTGATGTTTTGAGAAAGTACCCTTGATGACTAATCTAGCAAATATGATTGTAATGAAGACTCAAAGACATGAAGCCAAAAGAGGAGTGGAAAAATATCATTAACTTCAAGAAACACCTCTCAACATAAAATGTCAAAACCAGTAAGTCTCCAGTTCTCCGGTATTTGTACAACTCTATTTGCCACACTGGTTTAAAAGTCATAGAAAACGAACAATGATCTTTGAGACTCTTTCTCTAAAAGAGAACAAATATTTCAAAATCTCTGACATTGTAAACACATTTTTATACATTGTTGCAATGCTACAAATGTAGCATTTATAAAATGTAAAACTCCTTAGGAGTTTTCTGGCCCTGCCCATACTAAAATTACAATATGTTTACTTTCTGACCCAGAAATCCCACTTCTGGGAGTTCTGTCTAAAAAGATAGACCAGGGCTAGAGCCATAGCACAAGGGGTAGGACGTTTGCCTTGCACGCGACCGACATTCAATTCCCAGCATCCCATATCCCTGAGCACGGCCAAGAGTAATTCCTGAGTGCAGAGCCAGGAGTAACCCCTGTGCAACGCCAGGTGTGATCCAAAAAAGCAAAAATAAAATAAAATGATAGACCTGTGCATGTACAAAACAATGTTACATACAAGGTTACTCACTGGAGTACTGTATGCTAAAGCAAAACAAATATTCATCTATAAGAAACTAATTACTAATAGAGAACAAAAAAGCTACCCATATACTGATATGAAGAAAGCACCAATATATATGGTTTAGTTTATGAAACAATAGCTATGGGAGGACAGTATGCTACCTTTTACAAATATGAAAAATGCTGTAAGGGTTAAGAAATTATATGAATATAGAAACAATGGAAGGAGAGACAAAAATGAAAACAATGATAATCTACTAGAAATGAAGGTAAAACTGGATAGGCAGAAAGGCTGTGAAGGAACATTATCACCTATTTAGAACAGCTGGAAATGCCTTCAAAATTGCAAATGTGTGGTTGTACGCAAAAAAAACTTCAGGTAAACTTTGCAAAATTAAGTTTTGTCAATTGAACCTTCTATACTGGAGTAACGAGTAATTACAGACTGGAGTAACTGAGTAATTACAGTGAATTCCTCAACAAAATGTGACTCTGTAAAGCATCACCTATTTTTTATATGCTAAATTTCCTTGTTTATTGTGTTTCAAAAAGCATACGAAACATTAATATAAAATTTTACAATGAAAGTTTAATGTGTATCAGCTATTCAAAGACTGAAGAAAAGTTATTTTAGAAGTAATTTACTAGAGAGAGTATCTGAACAATTGTCTGCCATAGAGGCAGGGTAAGGACTGGGGTGGGGGAGGGTGGATAATGGGGACATGGTGGTGGAAAGTGTGTCCTGGTGGAGGGATGGGTGTTCAACCATTGTATGGCTGAATCTCAAACATGAAAGCTTTGTAACTGTATCTCACGGTGGTTCAATTAAAAAGTTAAAAAAAAAGAAAGTAATTTACTCTCTGTAATTAATAAAATTCATTTAACTGCCTAGATACCTTCATGGAAGATAGACCAATATTATTTGTGTAGGTCTTAAAATATGTGGCATTTGAAAGGATGGTTTAGGTCAAACAAGATAGGCACAAACATTAACAACTACAAAGACAATGCTCAAGGAAAAACATCTCTAAATTCCTCATAAACAATAGTAAATGTCTGCTGAAGTATATTAACATTGTTAGGTTTTTCCCCACCCAGTTCTGGAAATGGGACACAGGGACCTCGTATATATGGAGGCAAGAGTTCTAGAGCTAGTGCCACATTCCCAGTTCCTAGATTCTTTTGGACATCCATATCAATAAAAAAAAAAAAACAATATATGCAAAACATACAGCACTTAATACGGCTGGAAACACAAAAGGTAAGGTCTGCGTTGCACGCTGTGGATCAGGTTCAATCCCTGGCACCCCACATAGCATCCTGGGCCTGGCCAGAAGTGATACCCGAGTATAGCACCAGGAGTAACCAAGTGTGTTCCGAGAACAAAAACAAAATATAAAATAGAAAAACACACTCTAGCACACATATGCCATGTATCGAGTGAGGACTATGACATGCATGAGGGAAGAAATCAATGATGCATTTATGCCTTCAAAGCTGAGTCTAAACAGATCAGTAATGCGGGATAACTAGTGACTTGGAAAGATAGTACTCAGGTAGAGAGGACTCTTGCCTTGCGAGCAGTAGACTCTGAGATCAAACCCGGGACACTCTATTCCATTTTCCTTGGCTCTGCCAGGAATGATCTCAGAGCTCTGAGCCACGAGTAAGCCCTGAGCACAGACGGGTGTGGGCCCTCCCAAACAGACAGGAAAAACTGCAGTCTTCTCCTTCATATTAAGGACTCTATTTCTTTTGTATAAACCAGCGTTACAAATAATACCATAACGTAGTAATTTTTTTTTTCTTTTTGGGTCATACCCTGCGATGCACAGGGGTTACTCCTGGTTCTGCACTCAGGAATTACCCCTGGCGGTGCTCAGGGGATCATATGGGATGCTGGGAATCGAACCCGGGTCGGCCGTGTACAAGACAAACGCCCTACCCACTGTGCTATTGCTCCAGCCCCCGTAGGCATTTATTATTAAGTTTTTGGTCTCTACCTGATGCTCAGGGGTTACTCCTCACTCTGCACTCAAGAATTACTCTGGAGGTGCATGGGAGATATGGGATGCAGAGGATGGAGTGGCTCAGTGCCTGCAAGGAAAGTGCCCTACCTGCTGTACTATGCCTCCAGCTCCTGAAGGTATTTACTAGACAAAAAAAAAATTCACTCTGTCCATTTCCTGAATTGGGCTGAAGGGCCACACAGAGAAAAATCTGGTTTAATATGCAATCAAACAAGCTTATGAAAAAAAGAAGGGCTTAATCATTTTCCTACAAGGAATGTAAAATAAAATATTTCAATTTTTTTTAAAAAAGGCAACCTATAAGAAAAGTGCTTTACGCTTTTTTTTTTTGGTCATACCTAGCGATACTCAGGAATTACTCCTTGATGGTGCTTGAGGACCATATGGGATGCGGAGGATTGAACCCAGGTCGGTCACGTGCAAGGCAAATGCCCTACCGGCTGTACTATCGCTCTGGCCCCAAGAAAGTGCTTTATGAACTCCGCGTTTAGAGCAAAAAGAAACTTCACACGAATACAGCTTAACAGAATGTCTAATAGTGTAATAATCATACAGGCCTATTGTCCGCTATCCAGCACTTGCAGTAATCACAGAATTTCTTTGGTTGTGACTTCCAGTAGTCTGCCCTGCAAAAGGGGAGAAAAAGCCTACGCTTTACTTATAATTTCAAAAGGTGAAAATTCTGCATGCTTCACATCTTAAGGAAACACAAGCTTCTGCTCCCGAATCTTGTTATACATGCACAGCACCCTGTTTCGTGATCCGAAGCAGTCCAACTAAATCGCTGCAAGGCAAGGAGACCCAGGTCTGCAAGCCGGATTTCAAAGTCTCGCCAATGAGACAGCTTGGCCAAATTCTCCTTGATCACGATCACCAAGGCGGAGAAAAGAAGAAACATCTCTCAGAAGAGAAGATGATTCAGCCTTTCGGTTTTCGTCTTTCTGGCCGGGTGGGAGGGCGCCTCGAGAAACTTGGAAACGGTTGCTGTTCCCCGCCCCCCCAAGCAAGCTGGGGCCCCCTCCCAAGAACAAAAGCACGCGGCTGTGGGGACCGCGGCAAGATAAAACCGGTGCAGAAATGCAGACTGTTTCTACAGCTCAAGGAGAGAGCGGGGGTGGAGACCGGTCCAGGGGCTTTTCGGCCGGCCCAGCAGAACCACCCACCCCCGACAAAGTCGTCAGCCCGCGAACCCGGGCCAGTCCGCTCCGGAGAGGCGGAGGCGGTCGCGGTGGCCGCGGTCCAGCCCCCGAAGTTTCACAATATCCCGCCCCCGCCCTCGGCCAGGCTGGAGCGCGACGGTCACGAACGGGTGCCCGCGCCTCCCCCGCCCACCCCACCCCACCCCACCCTCGCCCCCTCCCCTGGGCGCGGCGGAGGCCGGAGCGCCGCGTCCCTCCCCCGGCCCCGGGGCTGCTCCGCGGGGGCCTTTCTACCGCGCCCCAGAAAACCGGCCGCGCCGGTCGGCCGCCCGCCAGCCGCGAGCGAGTTAAACCAGCCGGCGTCGGTCACGCCCTCGGCCGGAGGGCGGGAGGCGGCGGACGCCGAGGGCCGCCCGGGACACAACGCGTCGTTGTTCCCCGCCTGGGACCCCCCAACTCACATGACTGCACCCGCCGCTCGGCGCGTCCCCCTCCGGGCCCGGCTTCAGCTCGTCTTTTCCTCACCCCACCCCTCCCCCCTTCGACGCCCGCCACCCCCAGACGCGGGGCGAGTCGGAGCCGGGCCGGCCACGAGGCCCAGCCCAAAGCTCCGGGCCCGAGACGCCTCCCTCCGGGCCCGGCGTGCCCCGGTGGCCCCCCGCCCTCCCCGCGAACTCAACCCCGCTACGGGGGCCCGAGCGGCTCAAACCGCGTTCGCGTTCGCCGCCGCCGCCGCCGATTTCTCCCTCCCCGAGGGGCGGCGCTCCGGGCGCCTGAGAGGTGGGGTCGGTATAAAGAGGTTGAGGTCACGGAGAAGGGGGCGAAAGCGCGCCGGGGACTGGAGCTGGAGGCGAGCGACCTTTTTCGCCTCCAGGCGCTCAACCCCCCCAACCCACCCCCCACCCACTCCAGCCCCAGCCCCCCGTTCCCGATCTCTCGGCTCGGTCGCCCTCGGGAGCCAGATCGGTCCGGGTGTGGGCTCGCTGGCTCCCGGCCCGCGGGCTCGCGCGCCGCCCTCCGCCCGGCGCAAACAGCTGTTCTCCGGGAGCTCGCCGCCTTCAACTTGGCCCGCTAAGTCCGCTCCGCACCTTAGACCGGCGGAGTCACCCGGACCTGTAGGCTGGGAGTGGGAGAAGAGGGAGGGGGGCTTCGTCTTTTAAAAAGGGAAGGGGGGAAAAAAAGTGAAACAGCTGGCTCTCAGCGCCAGGAGTTGCGGAGTTCGGGGGTCTGCCTTAGAACTTTCCGTGCCTAGCGGGGCCCCAGCCGCTCCGCCCCCGCGACGCCCGCGCCCGCGCCCGGGGCCGGGCCGGCTTGCTCGGCTTGCTCGCTGGCGGAGCGCGTGGGCAGCGCCGGCGGGAGCCGAGGTGCTTGCACTTGTCAGGTGAGTCATCTGCGCACTTCTCGTCGCGCTTCCCATATGGTCTAGCGGTTAGGATTCCTGGTTTTCACCCAGGCGGCCCGGGTTCGACTCCCGGTATGGGAACGGAAACCTTTCTTTTAATGAATCCTGCCAGGGGGCACTTTAACTTTTTCTACCTCTGGGTCGCGCCTCCCGGCGCCCTTTCTAACTCGCGTTTTCCTCCCCGGGTGGGTCTATGGAAGGGAAAAAAAAAGAACCTCAAGAACTCGAGTGTATGCAGTTGGTTTCGGGAGCGGTCGGGTCGCCGGCTTGGCTGCGCCCTGCGAGCTGGAGCAAGAGGTGGTTCGCCCGGGGCGGAGCGGCAGCGGCCGGAGTTTCACTTTCCCCCCCCTCCCCTCCACCGGGCTGCTTTCCCGCCCCGGGTCGTCCTTTTCCAGGCTCGCGGGTGATGATGATTAACTAACGCGGCCTCGCCTTATCGCCTCCCAGCTACCCCCCTCGGGCCCACACCCTTCCCGGCCGCCCCTGGCTGACTCGTCCCCAGCGACGCGGGGCGTGTTTGTCCCCTGCCCTCGCCCGCCCCCCTACCCCCCCCCCCCCCCGGGGAGCCCGCGCCGGGCCAGCTGCCTCCCCAGCTCTCCGGCCCGCGTTCGCAAGACCCCCCCCCCCCCCCTTTCCTCCGCCCATCCCAACAAAACAGCCTCTCCGGGCGCGGTGGGGACCTCCTGGGGCGGGACCCACCTCCAGCACCGCCGGGGGTCGCCCCGCGCCTCCCGGCAGCGGAGGAGCCAAGCCCCGAAACCCATCTGCTATGTAACCCATCCCAGTTAGACTTTTTTGGGGGCGGGGGGCGCTGGTCGCAGCTCAACAAACTGTCCCTCCAGACTTAAAACCCACGGAGAGACATGAATGCTTTTTTTTTTTTTTTTTGGTTGGAAAGGCCTTGGGGAACGGGAATTTCCCCCACCCCCCCTCCTCCTCCTCCTCCTCCTCCTCCTCCTCCCCCCCCCCTTGGCCCTCCTCCTCCTCCTCCTCCTCCTCCTCCTCCTCCTCCTCCTCCTCCTCCTCCTCCTCCTCCTCCTCCTCCTCCTCCCCTCCCCCTCCCCCTCCCCCCTTGGCCCTCCTCCCCACGAGTTGCGGAGAAGAAAAATACCACTCTGATGAGATGTCTTTGCAGGGGAAAATTGACTTTCGAAAGAGCAATGTTTGGAGCGCTGTTGATAGGAAATCAGGGGTGTGTGTATGGGGGGCGGGGGGAGACTTGGAAGAGAAAATCGACCCCAGACTGCAGAGGGGATTTTGTAACAAAGTTTCACTGTGTTTTTAAGTATAGAAGCCCTGTGTTTATTACAAAGAAGAGGCAGCTGTGTCAGCAGCATGTGAGCTGTATACGAAACAAAAGCGTTATCTTAAAAAGCTAGCTGAAATGAGAAGATGGGGTGAGCGATCATGTCTATTGGGCTTCTGGAAACGGAAGTTTGAAAAAGCGGGCCGTCCCGAGGATGGGTTTCGGGTCCTTGACGTTACTAAAAGATGTTTGGAGTTGTTAGTGTATGCGCATTCCCAAACTGGTAGTTTAAACTGCGCGGTGAGTTTTGAAATCTCTTATATGGGTAGGCATGGTTAAGAATTACTATGGATTGTAAATAAGCCTCCACAACTATAAAATATTTTTTTAGTCATCCCCATTTGAATAGTTGCATTAAACCAAAAGCATGCTTTTGAGAGATACCAGATCTCAGGTTCTTCATATTAAGAGGCGGAGACTACAATGCTGAATGGAATCACATTTTACCCCATGCTGTATGTAACCTCCTGTAGGTAATTTCACCTCTGCTCTGCATTTGGAGCCTGGAAGTTCTTGATAACACAGGTCATCCACAATTTAGCTAGAATTGCAAGACTCGGTTAGGCAGTGAAAGTGGAAAGGTTTCATTTGAATATTGTCATTATTAAGAAAACGCTCATTTTAATTTGGAAGGAAAGATCCCTGTGCCTTCAAGTCTTCCCTTCTGACTTTGCCCTTTTGTTACGGTGTCACATATCCTACCTAGTGATTTTTCAATTGAGCACCATGGAGATGGTGCCTTTGCTGTGTACTGGAGGGTATGCTGAGGGGAGCAGTTTGATGATTATCACCGTCGGAGTTGCAGACTCATCGTAGACCATGTATGCTAGGTGGAACCAGGTAAAAGCAACATCTGACAAGCACTGCAGGAGCACAGAAATGAAAAATCAGTTCACTTGGGGAGGAGAGTGAGCATTGGACCTTGAAGAACTGGTTGGATTTCTCCTACTGGGCAATGTGAATCATAAAGCTGAGGAGGGGAGTGGGAAGCTGGGGCTGGCAGGTACTCACTCTGGTTATGCTGGAGCAGAGTGCCTGGAGGGGAAGCCGAGGCAGGTCAAGCCCAGGCTGCAGAGGGAGTTTTAATGTGGTAAATTTTGATGATGTCGATAGAGTGTTAAAAGTGTTACTTACTTTGGGTAATTTTTTTGAAATCCAAAAGCTCATAGTTTATATCAGCATGTTCTTAGGTTTTAGATTTAGCAATTGAATATTTTCATTTTTTGAGTTTGTACCATGCCCAGCTGTGTCCACAGCTTATTCCTGACTTTATGTTAATGGATCACTCCTGGCAGGGCTCAGCAGCTCCTGATTAGTTCAGTACTAATTGCAGTGCAGCACTATCCTCCCATTGGTCATTGATTTGCTGGAGAGGGCCCAGTAATATTGTGAGACTTGTTACTGTGTTTGGAATATCGAATAAGTTACGGGGAGCTTGCCAGGCTTTGCTGTGCGGGCGAGATACTCGATAGCTTGCTGGGCTCTCTAAGAAGGGTGGAGGAATCGAACTTGAACTCCGGTCAGCTGCGTGCAAGGCAAACGCCCTACCCGCTGTGCTATTGAATATTTAATTGAAAGACTGAAGAGGGTCAGAAAGACAGTACAGAGTTTATGGTACTTTCCTTGTAGCCAGCCATGGTTCGAATCCCTGGCACCACATATGGTCCATTCGAGCACTGCCAGGTTTGACTCCCCAAAACACTAAAATAAAATAAAACTGAAAAAAAAAGCAATCAACTGGAATTCAATTTAAAAGAATGAATAGATTTAAATTATGAGAATGATCTGAAAATTATTTCCTCACCATATTAGTATTGTCCTCCCATTGTTCATCAATTTGCTTGAGCGGCACCAGTAATATCTCCATTGTGAGACTTGTTACTGTTTTTGGCATATTGAATAAGCCAAGAGGAGCTTGCCAGCCTCTGCTGTGGGGACGAGACACTCTTGGTAGCTTGCTGGGCTCCCTGAGAGGGATGGAGGAATCAAACCCGGGTCGTCAGCGTGCAAGGCAAATGCCCTATCCACTGTGCTATTGCTCACCATATTAAAAACTACTGTTCTAAGAGCTGCTAGTAATTGGTAAGAAATACACTTTGTTAAGACAAAGTGATGAGTTTGTGAGGATTCATTCATATGCTTACGCCTTGTTACCAAAATACCACTGGTAAATCATTTTAAGAATTCTCTCTTGGGTGACAAAATAAAGTTATACTAACTATCTGGCATGTATTAGTTTTGGTATTTTACTGTTAGCTACCATTGAGTGTAACCAGAAGTGTTCAGGGTTTACTATTCGCATAACTAAACACCTATACTGAAAGAAAGAAAAAAGGAATTGTGGGGGTACGGGTGTTCCCAAGTCGTGCTCGGGTGCCCACAGTTTCAGGGAGTATGGGTAAAAGCCCATGGACTCTCAAGTGATCTCCAATGCCACCATCAGCTGGTCTCACTTACCTCCAACTTTGTCTCCTACCTTCTGCCACTTCATTATATTAAATACACACTGACTCATTCCTGTTTACTGAACAGGCCAAAGTTGGTCTTTTTTGTCTTATTACTTGAAGTTTTTACGGCCTTAAATACTCTCCCCTTCAACTTTTCATCTCGTGTCAGTGTTATGTTCTCAGAGAAGCCTTTTTTTAAAAAATTTTATTAATGAAACACCATGAGGTACAGTTGTAGACTTACAAATGTTTGTGCTTGGGTCTCAGTTATACAATGATCAAGTACCCATCCCTCCACCAGTGCCCATTCTCCACCACCAATGATCCCAGTATCCCTCCCACTCCCCCATCCTACCCCGCCTCTGTGGCAGGGCATTCCCTTTTGTTCTCTCTCTCCTGTTGGGTGCTGTGGTTTGCAAAAGAGGCATTGAATGGCAATCATGTTTGGTCTATAGTCTACTTTCAGCATGTGTCTCCCATCCTGGGAGAATCCTCCTAACACCCTTTGCTTGGTGCTCCCTTCTCTACCTGAGCCGCCTTTTCCCCTAGCGTGTTCGGCTGGCCTCCAAGCCATGGAGTGAACCTCTTGGTAATTATCTCGGCTATTCTTGGGTGTTAGTCTCCTATTTTGTTACTTTATATTCCCCAGATGAATGCAATCTTTCTATGTCTGTCCCTCTCCTTCTGACTCATTTCGCTTAGCATGATACTTTCCATGTAGTACCACTTGTATGTAAATTTCATGACTTCATCTTTTCTAACAGCTGCATAGTACTCCATTGTGTAGATGTACCAAAGAAACAGATGACTGGTTTCTTTAATCAGTCATCTGTTCTCGGGCACTCGGTTGTTTTCCAGATTTTGGCTATTGTGAACAGTGCAGCAGTGAACATAGAAGTGCAGATGTCATTTCAACGGTACTTTTTTGCCTCTCTGGGATATATTCCCAGGAGTGGTATTGCTGGGTCAAATTGGAGCTCAATTTCTAATTTTTTGAGCATTGTCCATACTGTTTTCCAAAAGGGCTGAACTAGTTGGCATTCCCACCAGCAGTGAAGGAGGGTCCTTTCTCGCCACATCTGCAGAGAAGCCTTTTCTAACCAGCCTGACTAAAGACTCTTTTTTTTTCTGGTTACTTATCCCTATTTTATATTACTCTTAAAAAAAAAATCTGAAATCTATTTGTGTCTCTTTTTTGTCTTTTGAAAAAAATCTTTTTTTTTTTT